CCTGGAGAAGGAACGCCATGCAAAGTATGTGATTAATCAATGCAGCATTGATTAGAGCTTCTAGTACTTTTTCTAAAAGAGGTAAAAGACTAATATGGCGATAATTCGAAAGGTCAGAGGATTCTGTCTATATCTCTGAGATGAGGTATTACGAGTAATTGTATTATCTACATTATTTGAACTATTATCCTCATCTTCATTGCCATATAAAGACGTTGGTTAGATCATTGACTAGACCCAAAAAGTTGTGAGTTCAATACCATGCTACAGCAGTGGTGAACAAAAACTTAAAGAGTTCAGTTAAAAAGGGAAATAACTGAGACATTAGGAAGAGGCATGTCACGTAGAACTAGAACAATCTACCCTAGAGGACTAAATAAAGGATTCGATTCGGAATTCCGATCACCCGAAGAAGGTCGGAGCGTACAACAGCCGAAACGTTGTGAATATGGCAATGAAGATGAGAATAACAGTCCGAATAATGTAAGTAATGTAAATCAGAAGAATCACCAAATTAATTAAACACAGGAACTACAGAGGTGGATTTCCAACAAGCCGGAAAGCAAGAAGCAGGGAGACATTTACTGTAGAATTTGGAGAGAACAGGCACATATTTTATTAGGATAATTGCAGGGATTCCGTCGAATCTGCAAGTCTTATGGGGATCTAGCTTAGAGACGATAACGGAAACAATGGACAAAGTCATATATACATATATATCACTCAGGCGAGAGAGACTATTCTAGGGGGAAAATCAAACAATGATACTTCTCATGAATCGAGAGTGTTGAACATTTTCAAAGAAACCTGAATGAAGATAGTAATAATGGTCAAGAATTTAGACCAGCAAGCAATAGCTAATGAATTCTGTATTTCAAGAAACCACATTCAGTAATGCTTATCAATTTTCAAGATACTGGAAAAGTTTCGGATCGACTAATAGGCAGTCACCCACGAAAACTTCTATATTTCCCCAAGTGTCAATTTACAGAATAAAAATAATGTGTAGAGAGCCATTATCGACAACATCCTGTAGGGACGAGGTATTAAAAATAAATAAATAAATAAACAGGATAAATCGGGCCAATCTTTAAATTTACTGGGATTTTAGTCTTATGGGATTTATATTTTAATATTAGATAATTCAACAAGATTTCATACGTCGTGAAATTAACAACTCAACCAAAAAAACGATTCTTTTACATATTTTTAATGAATTCTTCTTCTCTTCAACATTATTTGTTGTTGTTGTTTTTGTTGTTGTTGACGTGTATGATTATGGCTTATCCACAATATTCTTGTTCTTTGTGGCTCCTAATCCCTGTTCTGTCAACAATTTACACGAGCTCGTTAGGTAGGCTATGCGCTGATTTCCTGTGTTTCTCTTGCTGTATGTACTGTAGGTCTTGAATTTTGTAAACGCTCTTTCCTCTCGTTATGTGTTGATGTCATTAAATGCAACTAAACGTTTCAAGAACAAGGCCTGAATGGATTAATTTCAGCTAAGAAACCAACAATAAACAAAACGCATTTGAAAGCAAGATTAAGTTGGTCAAAGTGCTATAAAATATGGATGCAAATACTTTGGACAAGATCCTTTTCAGCGATAACACTACGATAGTCTAGTCTAAAATGATAATTTTTTCAGAAGGCCTAGAAGAAAACCAAACTAACCAAATCTCACAAGGAAAATTGTGATGTTTGTGGGTCGGTGTTAGATGTTTTCGGAATATATTACAATGGATGGTTAATAAAGTTTATTAAAAATTGATGGTAGCTTACATAGTGCCATATACATCCTGTTTCTGACAGGACACCACACTACAGATTGCCTGAAGCACAGCAGAGACAGGCTTCTTAGAATAATTTTGCAAGCATATTAAATATTTTATACAGGCTTAAAAATTCCATTTCCTGGGAAGAAAGTTGGTTTGGATGATTTTATTTAGCGACATATCAACGTCTACGAATTATTTAATGTCGAAATATAAATATTTTGAACACAGTTATATGTCTTTAACTACAGACAAAATTTATTTTTGATCATTTTGTTATAAAATGTATTGTTGGTAATTTTTTATTTGAAAATGTGGCTAATTTGCAGTTTGGAACCCGCGCTCAGTTCGCATTAAAAAAATTTTCCCGAATACTTGCATTTATGTGCAATTGTATATGCTTCATTTGAATCTGGTTTGATAAATTTGATAAAATCTCCCGTTTTGGAGTTATCGACAGTGAAATTTCGGATTCATTCGCGTTGCGACAGCCATTACTGACGTTGTTTACATACATTTTCTGCGGAACAGCTATGAGTAATATTCACTTGTCTTGATTATTGCGCACACATAGCATAATTGAGCGTGTATACGTAAATAGTTCTCTAGCGCAGTAATTGAGACAAGTAAGATCAGTAAAAAAACACAGTCCGTAATAGAACATAAAACAAATGTAAAGACAAACGTCATCAAACAATCTAAGCATTTGCTTTTAGTAATGTGTAAAGCATTATGGTTTTGAAGCTCTTGATTAAATGATTTTAAAAAATCTATTTACGAAGTTTAGCTTATAAAGAAACAATGACAAAGAATGAAGATAGATGAAATTTTCGTAAGAATTTCTAGAATTCTACAACGATTGACTTTAATTTGGACGTCAAAACAAAGACGTGTTCCTAATAAAAAATAAAGTTTATAGTAACAAATATGTTATTGTATGAATAATCAATGGGTTAATTTACAGTTTAGCACCCGTACTCAGTATGCATTAAAAATATCCATAATACTTACATTTATGTGTAATTGTACATGCTTCATTCTAATCTAGCTTGATAAATTTGATAAAATCTACCATTTTGGAGTTATCGACAGTAAACGTTCGGATTCATTTGCGTCGTTCGCGACAGGCATTACTGTTGTTGTATGCATACATTCGCTTCGGAAAGCTAAGCGCGGAAGAATGTAGTTAATGAACTTATTTTTATTGATATTACTTGTCTCAATTACTGCGCAAAAGAACTATATTGCGTGCGCAATAATCAAGGCAAGTGAATAATCTATTCATAGCTATTTCTCAGCGAATGTCTGCAAAAAACGACAGTAATGGCTGCCGCCAACGACGCGAATGAATCCGAAATTTCACTGTCGATAACTCCAAAATGGTAGATTTTATCAAATTTATCAAACCAGATTCGAATGAAGTATGTACATTTGCACATAAATGTAAGGATTAAGGATATTTTTAATTCGAACTGAGCGCTGGTGCTAAACTGTAAATTAACCGAAAATGTATTGCTGGAATTTTTACTATAAAATTGTATTTTTATAATTTCATTGTGTTTTGATTTTGTTTGGGGGTTCACTTTGACCATAGCTGGGACGCTAACAAGTGCTAGCACATAGGGTCTAGTTGGACTTCGGAACAACAGGGATTAAGAGCTAGTTCTACGCTGCACGAAACTTTCTATCACCTGATCAGAGGTCTTGCTTCCGGATGTAGTTTATCGTCATACCCAGGACGACTGTGATGAAAGATATTTTATTTAGTGTATTAAACAGACAACTATTATCATGAGGTAAATATTAGTAGATAATATCAAAATGCCGCAAACAAAAACTAAAAATACCAGATGGGATGATTATATAAAAGAAACAAACCCTATTAAATAAATTATCTAGGCACTACTTAAATAGACTGGTCCACTCATACAAATAAGTGTTTTTATTTAAATTAGATTATCTTTTTTTTTTAGACATTCCTTAAGTCATGAACTTTTTCAGAATTTAAAAATAATATTTTTATTAGAGATTTGGAAGTGGGGGGGTTGTTCCTGTTCCTAATATCAATACCGTATCAAATTGGTCTCTGTTTTTTTACAGAGTTATCGGAACTCGCAGTTTGTTTCCAAATATCACCTTTGATATTGTGCTTACGTCATTGATAACAGAGAATGAAAACATACATTTATTTTTTTCTTTACAAAACTATTTCCTTTTAAATAAAGAGCAAACGCATGTATACGTTTGTTGCGGTATTTTAAAATCCTGTTTAAACGGTGGAGTAATGGATAGCGGATCGGATTGAGGAATCGGTGAGCAGAGTTCGAATTCGAGTCGAATCAATTACATTTACTTACGTGTTAATACCCTTAGTAAATATATGCATCCTCTTCTTCGCATCACTAGATATGGGTAAATAGCAGGACAGACCGGGTTCTATAGCCTTGGATGGCAACCTATTGCGCAAGAAAAACCTGCCACTTCAGTCATGTATCGAAAGACTGATCTGACGAAAGATATGTATTTTGTTTTATAACTATATACATTTCAATTACATCCATCTTCTAACAAGCCCCTCCCCCTCCTAAAAAAATATGAAGAAAGAACTTTTTAAAATTCTGAAAATAAATAAAAGAAATACTGCCTCTTACCCAACGCATGTGGACCCTGGAATGTCAACACAGACCGTTGGGATTGCTTATTTGCAGCCGAAGGTTCAATGGAGGATTGAATGACAGTCAGTAGTGTTCAATGATGAGATCAAATTCTAAATTCAAGCAAGGGATGGTCGATTTTTTTAGGCGTCATATAGCTGAAGAGCGACATCTCCCACGATGGCAAGGTGCTGTTCAATGACGTACATCTACATGATGCGCGTGCTTTTCAAAATTTCCTCCATATTAAACAATTTTCTTGGTCAGCTTGATCACCAGATTTCTCATCCACTTAACAATGATGGGACTACACCTGACTCATTTACTTAGCTCACCTACAACACTTGCTGTATTGTGCCAACAAGTCATGAAATAATGTATTGCATAATTGTATTTGAATGAGTTTACAGAATTCTGTTAAAGCCCAAGGAGGCTAAACACATGAATATGGAGGCAGATCATTGCTTATAAACACCTTAACAACACGCACCAATAAAGTCTGTTCAAGGACGCCGACCTGAAAGAGTGACTTCAAGTTTCACGCTACGGCGCTCTTAAGATGATAACGTCTTACGGCCGTAATACGTTGAAACATCGGTTCCCGTACGATCACCGAAGTTAAGCAACGTCGAATTTAGTTAATACCTAGATGGGTGACCGCTTGGGAATACCAGATGCCGTAAGCTTGGAATTGCGGTTGGTGTAATGGATAACGGCTCGAAAATTAGTAATCGGAGATGCGAATTTCAATTCCAGTCGAAATTCCTTTTCCTTCATTAGCTTTTCTCGATGAAAATCATTTTATCTTTACGTTGTGTTATTCCTTTTTCTGTAGTCCTGGGTATGACAATAAACTACATCCGGCAGCAAGGCTACTAATCGGGAGATTGGAGTTTTTCAGGAGCGTGGAACAACCTGTTAATTACACTAGTTCGCAGGTCCACCCTGACGCTGGGTGATAGCACCAGTTAGGGTCCCAGATATGGGCGAAAAAAAACGCTATTAAAGTATAAAAATGTTTTTATAGTATAAATACCGGTAATATATTTTTATATAAATTAGCAACAATACACACATAACAAATAAATTGTAGCAACTTCACCCTAATCCTTTTTAAAATAGTACCAAATGAGCATCTTGAAAGAACTCTTTATTGCCATTAAGGCTAATACAATTTCGTAAATCAAACTGTATTTCAAAATATAACAAAACTACAACATAAACACATCACCGTCTCTGGTAATTATGTATACACATGGGTATGCATAAAAGTTGAGTATTATCTACCATGTACTCAATTGTGAAAGTAGAATAACATTATTATTACTTCAAATTTCCCATGAAACTTACTTTTCTCTATTAAATGACCTATAACTTGTTGATCATTAAATAGACAAAATAAATTCAGATAGGATATTTCTCGATGACAAGGCCTTCATTAGGAGCTTAGCGGATTTGCAAGACTGCGGACAGTGTGACTTTGGTCTAGAGGAAACGGCTGCACACGCCTTCTACCATTGTCCTCGAGTGCGCCCCCCTCCCAATGGGAATTTGTCGGCGAGTTGATAGCTCGTATTGCTCCCGAAAGTCTCCCTAAATCACATCGGAGTGGTTTTCTGTGAAGCGCTTCCCTGGTTAGGACAGACCCTTTTTTGTGTTTCTAGTTAATGTGAGTAAGTGTTGCATCCGGCCTGTTCCCGGCCTCTGCTTTGGTGATTTTTTTTTGGCTCTTTTTCATCTCGACTGGGTTAGCTTTCTTATTTCCCCCTGACTGAATTTATTTTATTCTTTCCCTCTCTCTTAGTGAGAGAGCCTTTTGATGTTTTCTAAAGGCAGAATACAGCGGCCTCTCTGAATTCATTTGAGGATTTGATGGGTCCAACTAACATCAGTTATCTTTATTTTGCTTGTTTTGATATTTTAGTTTGTTTTGGGATTCATCTCCTCCGCGCTCAATTTATAGCATTTACAGATTTTATGCATAGAATTTTATGGTCATTAAATTTTTATGTCATGGGGTATTTTTTGTAGGTTTTCTGATGGTATTATGGTATATGGAGGATTGTATGATGATTCACTTATTGCTTATCATCGATAAATATTTATATATAATTTTATATTCAAGAATTTTTATGTCATGAGGTATTTTTTTATAGGTTCCCAGTGTGTATTTTGATATGTGTAGGAGTGAATGATAACGGACGAGTATTTTGTGCTGGATGTGAAAATTGTTTTTCACCAACGGTTGATCTCTTGCTAAGGGGTGGACGAATATCTGAGATATCTGAGCCATTTTAGTATTAAGATGCTTTTATCGGGGCTATTTAAGGGTTTAGTTAAATTTTGCAGGTTCAAGTGAATCGGATTAGTTAGGTATAAGAGAGTAACCACCAGCCTGAACCCATTCCCTTTTTGGCCTTATGCTTCAACTACTGTATATTAACGTAGGTACCTCCACGAGATCGCTAAAAAAAGAGCATAGCATGATAAAAAAGACGCCAAACTTGACGAAAACAAAATTTTATCGTATAAATGTTTGTTATTATTAAGAGGAAAGTTCAAAGTATTTTTGGGGTATTTTTTTCCATTTTTAATCGTTCCTAGCACGTCCGAAATTTTCGTTAAAAATCTAGTTTTTTTTGAGTCAGCAAAATTGACCATTTTTTTCAATTTAAAAAAAAAACTGGAAATCTGATTTTGAATTTTTTTAAATATCAATTATCATTTTTCAAAACTTATTTTGGGAAAATCAGAAATTATAATGTTTATTTAAAATATTTTGAACCAAACTTAACTTAGCTTTTGTGCCAAAAAGATGTAATTTGAAAATAAAACAAAGCAGGTCATAAACTTTCGCGTCTCTTGACATGTGATGAATGATATATTTACGAATTCCATGAGGCTAATTTGTTCTACGGAAGGAGAAAAGTGAAATAATTTACATTTACGTGAACAAATTATTTACCCCGTTATTTTTAACGAAAACTTTCAGCGGTCTAATTTTTTTTTTTGTACTTAGCTTTCACCTTTACGTTTATGATGCTTTATGGGAAATATATTCTAAAGAAATTAAAATAAAACTGTTCTTATGAAATTGTACATAAAATACCATAATTTTATGTACATTTATTACATTCTACTGTTATTTGTATTTGCATTCATTTTATTATTAATTTTGATATTTCATTTATGGAAAAATGTCGTAACTGAAATTAATATAAAAATAAGATCATATAAATTTAATAAGATGATACTGATACTTGTAGGTACCCTTCTCAGTTGAAATTGAAAAATCAAATTAACTTCTCCACACGTGTTTCGCAAAAGTAAAGGCCTTAACAGCGGAGAACAATGCTTAACTCAAATAACGCAACTTAATTATATTCTGGTTGGTCTTCCGTATTTTATAATTACAGATCGATTATAAGCACAAAATTACATTTCTTAATTACTGGGGATCTCTGATTAGTCAAAATGATACAATTTACAACGCGCTAAAAAAAGATCTATCTCTTAAGGACACTTATGAAAGCCGATGCGGCTTTTAACTAATTTTATAATATTTTAACAACTTAAATGTAAAATCTATTATAATTAATGAAATAACAAATAATTGTATTAAAAATTCATTTTTCATCGAAAATTTTTTTTTGCTTTCAGAAAATATTGTCCATATTCATAAAAAAATAAATAAAAGCATTTGAAATTAAATAATATCTTTGTTTTATTGAGTTTTGTATGTTACAATTCACAGCTGATTTTCAGGTACTGCGTATCCAATTAAAAACAAAAAAAACATGATTTGCATTCCTCAAAGCCCTGTACTTTTAATTATTGTAATCACTAAAACCGATGCGATCGAATTTCTAGCGTTTTCATAAAATTAGTTATGGTGGGGGGGTAATAAATATTTAAAAAAAATATTTCTACCATGACTTTCATAAAAAAACATATTTATAATAATTTCGATCATCTGTGAATAGTTCCTGAAAGTTTCATTAACATCCGATAATTATTTCTATTTTTGCACGATTTTTCAAATTAATGTGTGTCATACCTAAAAAATGTGCTAAAAATTGTCTATGTTATTTACTAGTTCCGCTGATACAAATAGAAACAAGGTTTTTTAATCAAAATTTAGAATTTTCTAAAAGAAGGACAATTTTTAAAATAAAAAAAAAAAACTTTGGTCTTTCCTCTTAATAATAACATAAGCATTTAGACAATAAAATTTTGTTTTCGGCAAGGTTGGCGTCTTTTTCATCAAGCTATGCTCTTTTTTTAGCGATTTCGTGGAGGTACCTATATTAACGCAATAAATCTCGAGTCGCCAGCGGTATATCAACCATCTGACTTTGATATACGCTGCTTGCTGATCTCTCTGCCTCCGGGCGGAGAGGGACTCAGACAAGGTTATGTTGAAGTGCAGAGTCACGTCTGGGAAGGTAGACAAACCCGAACCCGTTATTATAGAGTATACGGGGAATTTTGGTTCGGAATAGCCCTCGTTAAAAAAAAAAAGCCTTGTGCAACATCCCGCCTTATAGGGAGGACTTGATTAAATATCGAGTCGCTAGTATTTCTGTCGTAACGTCGTGATTCTGATTTCCTTTTTTGTTCGTTTTCTGTGTCCCGGTTATGTTCGACATTCATGTGTGTGGAATTCTTCGTCGCCTCTGCCTCAGTTTTATTTGCTTTGTTTTATTTGTCTCCGGTGCTGCTGTTCGTCCTGTCCCTTCTCGTTTGTGTTCCGGTAGCAGAAAAAACAACATCAAACTTCTATTAGTAAATAAATCATTATTATCTCCAAAAATTACTTACAACGCTAAAACATTTCTGGCTTTAAATAACCTGCAAAGATGTCTATATTTCCGAGATGAAGTATTATGTACACTATTTACATTGTTCGGACTATCGTCTTCATCTTTGTTGCCATATTTATCACAACGTTTCACATATGGAGAGAAAAGGGAGATCACCGCCCTCTGTGATCACGTTGAAATCATAGACAAAGAACATCACCGGAAAATTCGTAAACTTAAGGAATCAGCACCTATGCCAGGCCACAAAAATCTCCTGGGCCGACCAAGCATAGAAAATAAACACAATATGGGAACCAGTAAAAAGGAGTGCCAGAGAAAAGCAATAATAACAACGAAAATTGCAATATGAGCTCTGGTTAAAAAATGATATGATACCAGCAAAAATTACAATATTACAACACTGGCAAAAATGGTTTCTGAAGACATTACGTTAATAAGGCTCAGAAATTCATACATAGATGTCCTCAAGGATACATGGCACAGTGGATAAACTTATAAATTATATCAGATTATGATAAAGGCGTTAGATCCAGTGACAGGACACAAAGAGTGTGAGTTCAGTACCTGGTTAATACGGTGGATAATTTGGAGAGGGGAATTAACAGGAGATAACTGACATCCAGCGAGCGAAATAAAGGGTACAGGTCGACATTCCAACCACCTGAAAAGGCCGGAGCGTGATAAATATGGCAACAAAACGAGGACGATAATAAAAATAGTAAACCTGCAAAGAGTTTGATAAGACGTAAAAGATTGATTAAAAGATTGATGAAACAGTCACAATTAGACATAGATATACCATGTGCAAGCAAATGGAGAGTTTCTGTCGTTTGTTCCTTTTTGCACATGAGAGATCAAATTTTCTCTATATTTCTTCAGGTTGGTTATCAAATTTATTCGGTTTTAATTTTATAAATTAAAGAGGTTTCTAAGTGAAATTGAAGACGATTTTACATTTTAATCGTGCGCCAATTCTATTCGTCCTCTAGAAGTATTTGTCTCTATACTTGTTAAAGTAATTGTTTTTCACCAACGATTGATCTCTAGCGAAGGCTTGGTCGAATATCTTAGATGTTTGCCATTTTAGTATTAAGATGCTTTTATCGATGATATTTAAAGGTTTAATTAAATTTCGTAGCTTCAAGTCATTGTTCATAACATTGAAACATAAAAGAAAAACTTCCATAATGGATAATTATTCACGTTTTAATGTCAGCCATAGCATTTAAATGCAAAAGAAAAACATCAGTAATTGATAGCTAGACAGTTTTTTGCCTTACCAATTGCACACCTGACGATGATCACAGAAAGAGATGGAAAGTATTTGGGTAATAAAAGTGATTCTCATTGTTACAGTGCATTTCTTGCTTAATTTAATTGTAATATACAGGAAAAAATATTTGTGAATATGAAAGGATTATCATCAAAATAAGGATATATATATATATATATATATTATGATCAAAAACCCAATATATATATATATATATATATATATATATATATATAGCATATATATACATGCAGATATGAACGTACGAGAGAAAATCATGGAGAATTGTAGTTTAAAAAGCAGTAAAATTGACCTTGCTAACCGAAACGCTCCTCTGTGGCTCAATTGGTAAACACGGCACCGTATAGGACACAAGTTCGATTCCTGTCGGAGGGGGAACATTTTCTGTGAAAATTTCTCGGACATTCAGGCCGGTAAATGTCGTTAATACTATTTATTATAAACAGGGCATTTACTTAAATATTTCTATCTATAAAAAGAACGTATAAAAAAAAAAAAAAAATGTCTTAAAATAATTGTCGAATTTGTATATATATATATATATATATATATATATATATATATATATATATATATATATATATATATATATATATATATATATATATATATATTTGTTGGTTATTGGAATTTATTCCGTATATACCAATCTATACTTATATATATATATATATATATATATATATATATATATATATATATACAGCAATCGTTTACAATTGTAAATTGCGTCCAAGTGTACTGACTTCGATTTTAATTAGATGACGTACAGTTATTTTCTTTGAGCAGATTTAATCTGTCTTTAGGAGAAAGTGAGAAGCTCTTAGCATCATGCAATGATCAATATACCCATAATTCGATACTAATTTTATATTTATGGAAAGACAGAGATAGCCAAATACACACACACACATATACGCACACACAGAGAGCATATATATATATATATATATATATATATATATATATATATATATATATATATATATATATGAACATACGAGTTCATGCTGAAAAAGAACTCAGCTTATCCAAAGAAATTTCCCCACCAAATTATAATTTCAACTATTTGCGAAGTTGGTCGTTTATATATATATATATATACATATATATATATATATATATATATATATATATATATATATATATATATATATATATATATGTGTATGTGTGTGTGTGTGTGTGTGTGGAAAGAGACTTTCTGATGTTATCGTCTGGAATAAGGACGATCCCAGCGTGTGGCATATTTGTAAAGTGCCTAAAAACCATACCACGGATTGACCGAAGACTAGTGAGTGAAAATTGGAGCCCTCGACATCTGTTCAAGCACGAAGTCACAGGTCATCGTGACAGAGGGTTTGAGTGTGCTGGCCTTGTTCAGATTGTTGATCACACTAGATGACACGCTCTCTTCCAGAAACTGTAACTAATGTCTGCTTAGCATAGTTACAGGATAAACCACAGGTTAGATCTATGGGTGTTGAACAAACAGAGATGTGCCTGAGTGAGTGTCTGCAATAGGGATTGGCTAGCCGTCCTAGTAGACGAGTATCATCGAATACGAGTGGCCAGCTATTATATATATATATATATATGTGTGTGTGTGTGTTTGTGTGTATATATATGTGTGTGTATGTAGATAGAAAGATAAATATATACATATATATATATATATATATATATATATATATATATATATATATATAAAAGAGAGATATGTCTATACAATCATGAGAATTAATAAATGTTAAGGCTTAATACATTTATATGCTTCCATTATATTTATAAAATATTTATATAATATATAATATATTTATATATATCTAGTATGTACATTATCTATCTATCTATCTATCTATCTGACGCTGTTCATTTTTATCTATCTATGGTTATTCATATCTGTCTATCTATTTTTAATCTGTCATCAATCTATGAAAAGAGACTGAAAATCATGTGAATTAAGTTTAATATATTAAAAGAAAAAAAAAACAACTATGTAGGTTGACAAATCAGCTTGATCAATAAACATGCGCATGAAATATCTAGATGCAAACAGGCGGATAGGAATCGCGCTAAGAATGTTCCTACAATCTCTCTTTGCTTGAAATTATGCCATCTTCCTCCGTATTTTTTTTTCATTATCTACATCCCTTTATTTCTCCTCGACACCCGTTCCGAATCTCTTTCACGTTCTCCACCCGCCTTGCATTTCTTCGTCCACGAGCCACCCACGCAAACGTCACTCATGCAATCCCCACATCTTATCTCGGATCCAACCAAGAAATCCATAGCAAAACGGAACAGGCGATAGATAGGGGGCGTGACCCGGGACTAAAACGTTGTAAGCTTTCGCGGTGTACCGGAAGGGACAAAAGGTTTATCTCGCGCCTTCTCGCGTGGTATCGATCCCAATGCAGCTAAATCAGAAGGTAGCGAGAAGGGCGTCGCATGAAGAGGCGCTGGGTGGGTGTTTGTGTGAGAGAGAGGAGGGGTTCGTGGCCATGGCAAGGGATGTGGATGCGTGCATTAACTGTTGAATCTTGAAGCCATATCGAACGCGCAGAATGTGTAGTGTCCCATTTAATGGCTACTGCCCAAAAACAATGAGCGCTCGTCAAGAAAATATTTCTCAGCCTGATCATTCGCTTCACCAGAACATGCAACAAATTAAAATAAAAATATCGGAGTTCTGTACCTTTTTTTTTTTTTTTCATGCATTTCTCAATTCTTGTTGTAGCATTGCAGTTCAGACCAGAACGTTCGTTCTTTTGGTGCAATCCAAATTCCAATCGAAGGCTTTTGGCTTAAAGAAATAACTCTTTCCAGATCGTCACCCATGAAATAAAAACAGGATACGAGATTGTAGCAGTAGGCAAATTTTATTCACCTTCTGCTGTAGACGAGCGAAGTAGAGGTGAGGTGAGGGAGACAAACGGTCTGTTTTCGGCTACTGGTGAACACTGTCCTATAGAGGACAAACATTCTTTGTCCTGTCATCTTTCATCTGAAAGTCATTCATCAAGTCCGACCCACTCAGCTGACCTCCTTTTTCAGGATCGTTTGACATGTTTCTTGTGAGGTTCACATCACCTAGTCATTAATTGTCCAGACAATAACTGTCATAACTATCAAGACAATTTCTGTAAGATGTTTTTCCTTTAACAAGATATCGACTGATATTGGTATCGCTACATTGTAAAAGTAATTATCTTGAAATTTATTATTTCATGAGGTATTATTCGCTGACTTTTTTTTTTACAGGTGTTAAATAATAGTTTAGCCGACTATTACTTTTAAGGGAAGTGTATCTCGACTCCGACTTCCGGAGGTTGATATTTGGGGTCAGATTTGAGCACTAATAGGGAAGTCGATTTTGATTGGCTAAGCTAGCGTAGGAAAGATAGAGAAGACAAAAGTTTAAGTGGAGTCGGTTCTTTCACGTCAAGCGATGTAAACGTGTTCTCTTTCTTGTCCGCAATGACTCCCCAGTGAGGGCTGGGGCGACCACCACTGGATAGTTAGATAATTGACATATCGACATGAGTAATAAAAATAGTTAAGTTAAAATTCTCTGTATAAAGTCTTTCATTACTGAATAAAAAGAATTAGCGATCGCCGGTCGAGAGAAGACGAGATAAGACCACTTCAACCAAGGGTCTATACAACACAAGGGGTGATCTTAGGTAGGCCTAAGCAAGACTTATTATAGGTGAACTTATTATAAGATTGAGAGCATAACTATCGTAGATGATACTGTGCTGATAGTAGATATGAAAGGCATCTGCAGGTACCCCTAGACAAAGTAATAAAAAGAAGTTGGAAAACAGAACTAACCATCAAATATATAAGACCTAATATGTAGTAAGTATCCAACTTTTCTTGTGATATAGCAGGACATATCTGACATCTCAGTTCAGTATCATTTTTGTTTCTAACGAAAGTTTATAGGTCGTTAATACTTTTAGAAGGGATCATTTGCAATTTCAATTCGCCTTCAAATCTCTGCGCGCCATATTTGTCGTCATCTGTTAAAACACGCCCCAGATATCTGTCTATATTTCTGAGATGAAGTATTACGTAAACTCTTTACATTTTTCGCCATAATAACAACAAAAATTGCAATGTGAGCTCTGGTAAAAACAAGAAATGATAACAGCAAAATTGCAATATGACCACTGGTAAAAAATGGTTACTGAAGATTTAATACCCAGAAATTCATACACAGATGTCCTCAAGGATACATGGCAAAATGGATAAAGCTCTTGGTTAGATTCAGTGACACGGCCCAAAGAGTGTGAGTTCAATACCCGGTTAAGGCAGTGGAGAACTTGGAGAGGAGAATTAAATAATAACTGACATGAAACTAAAAATAAAGGGCTCAGTTCGACATTTCGACCACCTGAACGGCTGAAACGTTGTAATAAATATGGCGACAAAGATGAGGACAATAGTCCGCATAATGTAAATAGTGTACGCCTCAGATGCTTACATTTCTGTACTTGCTAGCATCTTTGGTGTTTCCAAGCGGTCTTCTTACAATTTATATTTAGTCCTTTCTTCCTTTTCTAAGATGTGAGAAGTACAAGTGTTTGCAGCAATTCTTATTTTTAAGGGCTTCCAATGTTTCCAGCAATTCTTATTTTTAAGGGCTTCCAGAAATGTACTCTATATTTTTGTTTTCTTCTTTTCACATCATTCCTAAATCCCCCAATATATTAATGTTATTTCCCCTGAAACGTCACATTCTACTAAGTTCTATATCGTTGTGCTTGTGTTTAGATTGGCTGCGGCTGCAACATCTGACAGAAAACATGTATTTTCAATATGATTTTTTCCTATTATATCTGGTCGATTTGCCTGTATTTCCATAATTATTATTATTATTATTATTATTATTATTATTATTATTATTATTATTATTATCTCCCTAGATTCCTGAAGTATGGTCGTTATATCGCGCTTCTCAATCAGAGACCAAAAGTCAGGAATATAATCATGGCATTTTCCACTGCGCAACATACAAACGCATACATATTTTTCATAGATGATGTCCTCCGTATCCTGTGAGCTGTGCTTGTGAGAGTTATTTCTGGTATTTCCTTAAGACCTTAGCTGCCACTGATCTTCACAGTGTGTCTATTTAAACCTTTTCCAATCAAACCCAATGTCTAAAACAAAGGTGAAATTACTTATAACTTCATGTGCCATAATTTTTAAATTTACACTTCTTCAAGATTCTTGTATTTTGATAGATTATTATTATTATTATTATTATTATTATTATTATTATTATTATTATTTCTTTTGATTTCTGTTGCATACATATTTCCTTCGGTGTTCCAACTAGATACCTATTTTTCTTATATTTTCCCAGCCTTGTAGAGCTTTATCTATCATTCTTTCTTCTCATTAGATCCATTCTGCATTGACATAATATTTCATTGTGTTGCCCCAAATATTAACCCAAAAGTTCTGCACTTCTTTGATAGATGGTGGCTTTTAGAGTTCTATAACTGCTTTCCCAATTTGCATGTAAAACCTCTTGATGTCCGTTTTGAATTTGGACGAATTGAATCGGGACGAATTTGTTTTAAATTATTTGCTTAATCTTCCTGCATTTGCGTGTTGAAACATTTGTGTTTTTTAAGATCTCATGTTGTGTCGAAAATTGACATCTGATTTCCGCTATTTCTCGCTTTAATTTTGCCTTTCAAACTGGTTATTATTATTATTATTATTATTATTATTTCCTGCTTTTTGTATTTTTATTACAGATGCTTGGTTTTTGAAAACGTGGATTGAATAACATAATGTCTCTTCAAATCTTTCTATATTTCTGAAACTAGAACAGTTTACCCCAGCTAGGGAAATTAAGGGTTCAGGTCGACATTCCAACCACCGGACAATGGCCGAAACGTTCTGCTAAATATGGTAACAAAGATGGGACAATAGTTCGAATAATGTAAATAGTATCTCTTCAGATCTTTACCAATAACTATTTCTCTTCCGGTCTGTCATTGCCGTAATCTGCTCAGTTTCGCTCCTTATTTGAACCTACAATCTATCCAAGTGCACCGGCTATTATAGGCACATGGCCCACATGTTCCACAGATTTGTCACTTCTCAGACTAGAATAGAGCATTTTTCTTTTCCTTCCGTCGTATCCTATCGTCTATTAACAGAGCTACACATACAAGAAGACAATTTTTTTGTCTTGTTTTCAGCTATTCTTTCTGGTTTGCTTATCCGGTTGGAGTGGCTGGTGTGTATTACAATGTCTAATATTGTCTTTCTATGACAGTCTCTATATTTTGCCAATACTATTTGTTTATATGGTAAAACACAAGTTTTTTGCACAGTTACCATTTTATTGAAGTTCCTGCTCTGTCATAACAGTTTTTGAATCACTTTTGAATGATCATGCTGATAGCGTTTTAGAATTTTTCCAAAATTATTCCATTATTATTGTTATTTCTTAAATATCTCTTTAGACAATATTATCGTAAAAAAAAAATGGTGCTAAATTGTCGTTTTTTAATAGCCTTTCTTTCCTCCCGTTTATTACTTTTTCCCATTCTGTAAGTTTTGCTCTCTCCATTAACTGTTATTTTTTTTCCTCTTCTCCTTTCTCAATTTATCTCTCTCTCTTGCTCTCTCTCTCTCTCTCTCTATCTATCTATCTATCTATCTATCTATCTATATATATATATATATATATATATATATGTCCTGTCTTTCACTCAGTGTTTATCTTCATCGTTGCTTCTCAAGCAGCAGATAAAGATTATCGATTTCGCTTCCGGTCACGTGCAAAACGGAGATCGTCGGCTATTCCCAAGTTGAGCGACTTATTCAATTTGAGAGAAAAAAACAAGCCTTTATCGTTTCTGCTTTATATTAACAGCTTAAAATGTTGGACAGAGGAAACAAACAAGAAACCTTGAAAAATAAAGTTGAACCAAAACAATTCAATAATTAAACAAAGGAGAAAAGCCAGCGAATAAAACTCTCATGAAAAGCTGACAAATAAATGAAAAGAGAAGAAAAGCCCAAAAGAAGTTATTTCGGATAAAAATCAAACCAGGATTTACTTGAAATGACAGTTCAATAAATACATATAAGCAAACTGCCATATATAGATATGAGGAAACACACACACACACATATATATATGTATGTATATATATATATATATATATATATGCAAAATACATATTTATATATATATGTATGTATATATATATATGCCATTTATATATATATGCAATAAATATATATATATGTATATATATATATATATATATATATATATATATATATATATATATATATATATATATATATATATATATTTTATATATATATATATATATATATATATATATATATATATATATATATATATATTGTTTATATATTATATATCCGCGGTACTTACTGGAAAGTGCTCAATATGAGTGATAGAGCTAACATATTCAGTTGTATTGATGTGAGTTTGTGACCTTGGGTTTCACGCTATTTGCGATCGCCAGACAAACTGATTAATTTTTAAATTTTGAATTTATATATGGTTGCGTATATTTGTGTTTTTATGGCAGTGGGAGGAAAAATTGTCTTCGGAACATCACTCGTACATACGCAGGCATACATACGCGCACATTCACGCATTGCAGCTCACACAAACATATATAAACAGTGTGTGACTGGGCGTATATGCACATCCATGTGTCGTTGCGTACATACGTACGTAATTGGTCACTGTATTTAATGTTGGATTGTGTGGCGAACTTCCTTCGTCAGTGGCAGTGGCAAAAAGTACCAAGGCAATTTTTTCTCCCACTATCCCAAAAAACCCAAGGTCACAATCTCGAACCAATCCAACTATATATATATATATATATATATATATATATATATATATATGTGTGTGTGTGTGTGTGTGTGTGTGTGTGTGTGTGTAAGCAAATATATGTATATAGATCCGACAGTATGAAGAAAATATACTGAAAAAACAAAAAAAAAAAATCCTAATATGCAATTATGCTGTTTTAATGTTTAATGTCAACGTCGGACGTTTCGGTCTAATAGACCATCTTCAGGACATATTAATAAAACACGTTTTCACAACACCGCCCATGTGATGACGACGTGATCATATTTAAACGGGACGCTGACCTTATAAAAGATTTCCGTTATCTGTTTGGATTGGTATTGCTTTTATGTCCATCGTCTTTTCATGTTGAATTGTATATGGTCTATGTTAATTATGTTTTTATGAATATGTCCTGAAGATGGTCTATTAGACCGAAACGTCCGACGTTGACTATTAAACATTAAAACAGCATAATCGCATATTAGGATTTTTGTTTGTTTTTTCAGTATATTTTTTCTTATATATATATATATATATATATATATATATATATATATATATATATATATATATATATTCTCTTTATACGTTATTTCTATAGATACAATTTACTTAAGTAAATTTTCTGTTTTTAATTAAACAGTATTAATTACATTTACCGGACTGTTCGAGAAATTTCGTCGAAAATATGCGTTCTCCGACATTAATCGAAGCTGTGACTCTCATTGCCATCGCCATTTGATCTAAGGTGCCATTCAGTCAAAGAGAAGCGTCTGATTTGCAAAGTCCGAATTACTGTTTATAAACACACATCTTGGACGATCTATCTCAATCAGTCATTTCTGCCCATTTCTGTCAGTCGACCCAGTACTTTCTGAGCGACTGTTCGGTTAAACTCTCTCCTTACGGACGGGAGGAACCCGAAGGAGGCTACGCCGAAGGGCGGAGTCTCCTTCGGGGAGGGCGTTTCGGCCCTGAACCCGTTTATACGGCTTCAATGGGGATATTTTTGGACGAGCCCACGGGCTCGGAATGCCCACATTAAAAAGGCCTTGTGCCACATGACACCCTCGTGGGGGGGGGGGTGACTGAATATCGTCATTTCTGCCCACGAAACTTATCTTACCATAAACACTGACAACATATTATGAAATAGATTAATTCGAAAAAATATTTAATATATTTTCTGCTTATACATTTACTTATAGATATATTTTATTTGAGTAAATGCTCTGTTTTTTTTTTAATTAAACCGTATTAATTACATTTACCGGCATGAGGTTCGATTTCTGTCAGAGAGTTTACATCTTCTAAATTTCTCGAACATTCAGGCCGTAAATGTAATTAATACTGTTTAATTAAAAATCAGAGCATTTAATTAAAAAAATTTATATCTATAAAAATAACGTATAAACAGAAAATATATTAAATAACTGTCGGACTTAATCCACTTCATTTTATATATATATATATATATATGAAGAAAAATATACTGAAAAAACAAACAAAAATCCTAATATGCGATTATGTTGTTTTAATGCATATTAGGATTTTTTTTTGTTTTTTCAGTATATTTTTTTCATATCGGATATATATATATATATATATATATATATATATATATATATATATATATATATATATATATATATATATATATATATATATTTTGATTCGTTTCATCACCTTATCAACCTTTTGCAGGTTATTTGAAGCCATAAAATATTTTTAGATTGTACGTATTTTTTTTAGATAATAATAGTTTAGTGATATAAGACCACGGGGAAAAGAGTTGGATTCATATCATTTTCAAGGTTATTTGCGCGTAAGTGAATATGACGAACCGAACGGGAATTGGAACTCCGCTGTCTGATTAACATTCCCAGGCCATTATCCATGACACCAAGCGCACACCGCAACTTACAGCACCTGATATATGCAGGTGGTCACCCATCTAGGTACTGACCAGGCGCGACGTTGTTTAACTTTGGTGATGTTACAGGTATTTCAACGTGTCTTGCCCGTAAGACTATCTATCTAGTAAGGAAAGAGAAGTATATTTTTGTTATATGCTGTACCTATGAGCAATAATGAGTATGTCCCAATCCTCATAAATACGTTGAACTACTGTAAGTGGAAGTAATATGCTAAGTTGTCCCCCACTAGCAGCGGTTTACCTACTTAACGGCGCTGGCGAGTATTGTATTTTGTTGATGATATAAAGATTACCATTTCATTTCCAACCTCCGTTTTGGTTGTTCCTCATTCAGTAACCCTTCCTAGGTTACAACAATTTTAATTTTATCATTTTTGTGAAAGTTATATTTAGACTGATAGAGCGATAAATATGAACAAACTGACACACACATACGCATATATATATATATATATATATATATGTGTGTGTGTGTGTGTGTGTGTGTGTGTGTGTGTGTGTGGTCATCCACAGACAGATTGTTTCGTTGTATCACAGCTCATCAGTGTGGCTAGACGTCCGGTTGCCCTTAGCTAGGATTCGAACTAGGATTCTACCACTAAGCCATTCACTCACGGCTGGGATGAAGGTGAATTTAAGCGTATTTATTTTTACATAAACACACAGTGGCAGAAAGAACTCGATTCGATTTACCGAAGTGTCTTGCATTATTAGCTGTAATAATCACTGTTTCCAAACCCACACTTCCTCCCCAGAGAGCTCAAGAGAGCTCAATCGAAATAATTTTTTCAGGAGCATATATTGTCATCCACAGACAGACTGTTTCTCTGTATCACAGCTCATCAGTGCGGCTAGGCGTCCGGTTGTTTCTAGCTAGGATCGAAACTCGACTGAATTGGCGTCAGTCGCGGATTCTACCACTAATCCGTTAAATGAATATACCGCGATCTATAGATATGAACAGAGATAGGCAGGGAGATCATATATGAAAGAAAGTGAGAGGTAGATTATGTGAGCAAATTAGAGATAATGGAAGTAAAATATGAGAAAGAAAGAGATAGAGTGGTACATGGGGTGAGGTAAGGATGGAGAAAAATTCTTTGCAATAGTCTGTTTCTGCGAAATATTTAATAGCTGCTAACTATAGATAGCATAATCGCGGTGGTCATCGACAAAGCAAATAAATGGCCGTTCTGCCACTTTGTCCACTGAATGGTTGATGTTACGACGTCGGGTTTAATTGGTCGATGGTTTAAAAGGATTTCTAAATGGGTAACTGTTCTGCCGAATCTCGCCATGACTGACTACGTCCATAAACTGTCAGGTCATACAACAGACCCTCATAATCGTCAATCGTTACTAACGATCTTTAGGTTCTTACAATTCTTCAAAAGAAACCATTTTGTAATTTCGAACAATTTCCCTCGTCTCCATAAGTACTTATAAGTAAGCCAGTCAACTGGAAACGAAATGTATATAGTGAGAAATGGTCGACCACAATGGCTGCCAATTAAAGTAGAAATCTAAAAAATGGCCTTTTGAAACTACTGACTTTAATTATATTCCTCACACAAAGTCCGTACATTGAATATTGTTGTCATATCTGGTTTGGTGCTCCTGTCGTATATTTCAAGATTTTTGACAAAATTCAAAATTCCTTCAGATATGAATCGCTGGTAATATTTTTTTCAGAAATGTATTGCTGGTAATGTTTCTTTTTTTAAAAATGTACAGCTGGTATTTTTTCTCTTTTTTTACAAAAATGTATTGCTGGTATTAAACTTTACAATACACAGAAGACAGAACAATCAAAACTAATCGCCGAGACATCGTGATTAGAGTCCGCAAAGACAAAATGTGCCTACAAATTGACATGGCAGTACATTTGAAGATCCTTAAAAGATTATCAATATACAAAGACCTTGAAATCGAAATCTCAAAAAATGTGACGCATGAAGCCATTAATAATTCCAGTTGTAGCTGGAACCCTCGGATTGTTTGGAATAGATCCCAGTAGACTCATTGAAAAATCCCTGGTAGCCCATGGCTTAAAGAAATACAAAAAAATTGTACTCACAAATACAGCCCACAACTTACGAACGGCTTTATCTATGTAAAATATGTGTGATATTTTT